CCTGGCGCCCAAGTTTCCAGAGACACCCCCACCCCCACCCCTGACTTCAGTGATTGCCCAGCTCGGGTTTCCTTATTTCTTTAGAAGCCCCTAGGTCTCAGCCCAGCTGCTTTTTCGTGGGATGACAGACTTGAGATCCAGCGTTTATAAAACAGCATAAATCAATGAGGCCCAACGGCAAGAGGCCATCGCTTATTCCTTTGTCTATTTTCCCTGCTGGGGACTCAGCCACGAAGAGTCTATTGAACTTGGAAACTGTAGTCACGTCGAGATTAAGTCTCCAAACCGGACACAAAAGATGCCCACCGTTCCCCGGGAAGGAGCGCAGTGCGGGGTGACGTGACGGGGCAGGATGCCAGCTGTCCCCAGCCAGATCTCACGACCGAACCACAGAGCTGTGAGGGGGCTGCGCGGAGTGGCTTCGGGACGCTGGGTGCCTCGCAGGAACGTGGGAACTCACTGGGACACAACGTTTTCCTCCCGGAGAGAAGCTGCAAAGCCACGCGGGCCAAAGGTGGTTTCCTGGCAACGCGGTGCTTTCTGTCTCTTCAGGAAAAAGGGTCGGAGGCCTTGCTTGCCCTCCGGCCACAGATTGATCTGAACTGAGTCCCTCGGACAAGCTTTCGTTTTCAGAGACCTCAAGGCCTGGGGGACCTTTGCAGGGAATTTGCCAAGCACCTCCCTGCTGCTCGCTCTCTCTCTCTCCCACTCTGTGTGTGTGTGTGTGTGTGTGTGTGTGTGTGTGTATGTGTGTGTGTGTTATCCCCACAGGATTTGGGGAGTGGGGGTAGGGCAAGGCAAAGTTATTTTCTCTGGCAAATGGGTCAGGCTGCTCTTTTAAAAGTGAAAGGGAGAAAGAGGCCACACCAAATTTAGCGCCGAGGGAGGGCCTGTGATTTATAGAGTAGCGAGGGTGTGCAGGGGCGGTTTCTAGAGGCCCAGAGGCAGAGCTTATATAAAACACACACACACACACACACACACACACACACACACACACACACACACACATGGGCTGGTACGCACGCCTCGCAGAGCACTGAGAGCAGAGGAATCCATGCTCACATGGAGAGAGCTAAGAGCATCTTGTACTCGGGTGGACTTCGGTGCGGCCCAGGGAATCCACTGTGCTCACACCCTGGGCAGCTCAGAAGAAATGGAAGACACGCATTTCAGGGGCTGGCCTAGGTTCCTCAATGAATATTTGCACAATTGGGTATGTGGACGTGTTGGGACTACCTGGGGGTAGGAGACACAGGAGACACGGTCCCAGCAGAGTTCTGCTTCTGAGCCTGAGTCTTCATGGGTTTCAGGCCCCTGGCCCCAGTCAGCCCCAGCAAGACAAGACACAGAATATCACTGGGGGGAGAAGAGCATGGCGGGGAGGGGGGGGGGGGAGGAAGGTAAAGGGCAGCGGGCCTGGTCGGGCCTTTGATGGAGGTCACTCAGCTGTCAGTGCCTCGGAGGGAGTTCCCAGCCAGCAGTCCCCCTTTTGTGTTTGTTTGACAATAACGGGCATTTCCTCAGCTTCCCGGAGACCAAGTGGCTTCCGCAGAGGGCACGTCCATCATCTCCTCACCAGCCTCTGTTCCCTGTGTAACTGCCTCACATCTGCTGCTCGCTGTGCCGGGGGGAAACCATACTCCTCACACGTGCAGAGGGAATATGCCACTGGCTGCTTTCCCTCCTCCCTCCTCAGTGTCCCCCGGAAGGCGTGCCCTGAACCCTCATGCTCACAAGAGGGTGGCAGGAGCTGCACCTGCCAGGTGTGAGGTTCGGAAGGAGGCACGCATCAAGGAGAGGGCACGTGCCCGCTGAGCCAGCCTTTCTGGAAGGTTTCATCTGGAGTTCTGGGGGCATCTCCTGGACCAGAAACCCCCCACATGAGCACCAGCCCCGCCCCCTGACCCCCAGCTGCAGGGGAGACTGGAGAGCATCACAGACATTTTATTTTTTAACCTGGGCACATGGTGGTCCCGCTGGAACGTCATGAGAAAGAATCAAGAATGAGATACTTGATGACCTGGAGACTTAAACGATCTGCCCGCCGTTCTGCCATGGGGATTCGGTGGGTCTGTGCCAAGCTCCTCCCAGAGCTGCTGAGCTGGAGGTCTGCCAGCTCCCTCGCTCGCTTGGGGGGGAGGGGGGGCTACACAAGGTGGGGGCCATGCCCTGATGTCCCACCTAAGTCCACCGAGTGATGCCATCTTCAGGGAGAAAGGAAGAAAACAAATTCAACCTCCTTCTCATCCTTGACTCAGCATCTGAAGCTAGAAATGCTTTTTTTAAGCTTCTGTGAGCATCAATGTATTTTGGGGAGTTTGCTTAGGCCAGTGGACGGCAAACTGCGGCTCGAGAGCCACATGCTGCTCACGAGCTGCAGTTTGCCTCTCTGTTGACTCTGTTTTGCCAACCACTGCCTTAAGGAGAAACACTTAAAAAAACATTTTAATAATGTACTACTGTCTTTAACCTGAAGTCAAAACTTCTGGGTAAGGGTAATGCCTTACAGCAGTGGTCGGCAAACTCATTATTCAACAGATGCGAGCTGCATGTGGCTCCTGAGCCACAGTTTGCCTACCACTGGCTTAGGCAATGAAGTACAACCAACAGTTCACAATTCAATAGCACTAGGATAAAACACAGAGAAATGCCACTCTGCAGGGAGCCTTCTCGCGATGCTGACAGAAGCACCTAGTTGATATGCGGATGCAGCTATGGCCCCAGCTGGCCCAACCCGGAGAGATGGCTGAGGGCTGCAGGCTTTCTCATCCTGAGCGACAACAGGGCACCCAGGCTGGCACAGTGGCAGAGTCCACGCCACACGGAACACAGGCACACGGTCTGCATTTTGAGATCTTTATTGTTGAGTCACTCATTGGGGTGTTGAAACATGTAATAAAAATAAACAGAACATCAGAGATAAATATGACGGGAATGCCTAGCTGACATTCTGTGCTGGGTAAGAGAATTTGATAAGCGAGTGCACTCATTGAACGCTGATGCCTCCATTCTGCTCCTCACAAAGTGAGGTCTGGGGAGATGGAGTCCGGGAAGCAAAGGACAGGGGAAGGGAACTAGCAGGCGGCAGTCCTCTAATTTCACTGAGCTGGTCATGGCTGCAAACCCCGAATCTAGATACACACGTGAGGGAAAATGCGTCTGCATTCCTGGGGCCAGACAGCAAACATGCATCTTTTATATCTCAATGCTAAGCTTGCAGCTTGTGACATGCACACCTCTCTTATCCATAAAACAGGAATAAAAGATTTGCACATGTTCTGTTCAAAAGATAAAGTTATATCGTTCATAAGCAAAAGAAAGAGGGAAAGGGAAAAAGGAAGGCAGGGAGTGGGAGGAGAAAGGAAAAGGCAAAAAGAAATAAAAAAAGAACACCATTTTATATACCTATGTATTTTATTTTGATTGGTCATCTTGGAGAATGGGATTCACATCCATTGACTTGTGTGCTTTAATTTAAATAGAAAAAGAGAGACCGAGAGACGAAGATTGCCCAGAAACGGTCAAAACTACGTGTATGTGCGTGTGTGTGTGTGTGTGTGTGTGTGTGTATTTAAATAAAATAAACAAACTAAACACTGTGGCATATACTGATGGCCAACTTGGAAATCACGTTAAGAAAACATGCAGATAATTCTGAATGCAGCTCATAACTCTTACGTTTATGGAGCAAAGTGACTCTTCATCGTAGGTGATTGGATTTGTGTTTAAAGCAATCATGGAAATAAGGGTAGCCAGATATAGCTCATGTCCTCAAATGCAAGCAATGGGACGGCCCTGAGCTTCTCCATTTTAAAATGTGCATTAAATCACTTTAATTACGTTTCACAAAAATCTTCCGTTTAAATGATTGTTCTAAATTCAATGGAACATTTTCTCAAAATCCGTAGTTCAAATTTTGTAAAGTGACCAAGACAGGCAGCCTACATAACTGGGCATAAATAAATACCTTTCCCCTCTTCCCATGCTCCCCGCACTCCTCCCTCCTCCACCCCCTGCCCGGAGCTGCAGTCCTGCAGGGCGCTGCTGAACAGGTTTCTCCCTGAGCCTGAGCTCACTCCTTGCGGCCCAGGCCCTCGCCCTCTCTCTGTGAGCCTGTGCCTCCCTCCTCCTTGGAGAAGGTGGAGAGGTGGAGGAAGCCCCTTGTCAGGAAGCCTTCACAGGCCAGCCCTCCTTTCTCTGCCCTTCCTGGTGGGAGTCAAGGGGGGCATTGGAGGGAGAAATCCTGCTCTGAATAATGACAGTGAGCTCTCTGCTGCCTCATGGGTTGGAGGAGAAATAGCCCCCGGCACTCACTGACCGTCACCTGGGCAAGTGGCTGTGGAGAAAGGTCTGAATTGCTGGCACTGTCCATTCCTCTTAGCATCTACCTCCTTCTGCGAAGGCCAAGATACACTTGTGGAGATGGAGAGGCAAACAGAGGAACCCCATTGGGAAAGCTGATGCCACTGTTAAATATCGCAACATGACAATCTACTAAATGCGGGCCCTGCGTGGGTCTTGGTTGGATGATACGATGTTTTCATAGGAAGCTTCTCGTTATACTTTGAATTATGATACAGGAAATATTATTATTATTGATGCTGGTTGCCTGTTCTATTTTTATTTATTGCAGTATCCTACCTTTCACCTTTCTCCCCCAATATGGAACATTATACTTCCAATAGAAGATGCAAGTATATGGAATCATCAAAAGAGATGAAGCTTATATTAATCAATTAGACGCTTAGTAGCATCCCTAATACAAAACTTACTAGCAAAAAAAAAAAAAAATTGATTGGAGCCCTGACTGCTTTGGCTCAGTGGATAGAGCATCAACCTGGGGACTGAGGGGTCCCAGGTTCGATTCCAGTCAAAAGCATGTACCTTGGTTGCCAGCATCTCCCCAGTAGGGGGTGTGCAGGAGGCAGCTGATAGGTGTTCCTCTCTCATAGATGTTTCTAACTCTCTATTCCTCTCTAAAAAATCAATAAAATATATTTTTAAAAAATTGATTGGATACTACATAATTTTTTTATTATCTTTCATCAAGTTTAACCTGCTCTTATAATCAGCATCAAACACAGCTCTAACGTTCCAGTAAAGCCCTGTTTATAGCTAACTACCTTCCTGAAGGTGATGGGCTAGAGAGCAAACTGCTGGAGTGGAATGACGATCTGGGACTACATCTGGGATTCCACGGAGATTCTATTTAGAGTCAGGAGAGCTTTCTGGTAAGGCGCTTCCTTACACTCATCCAGGGCGCAACTGGGCGTCTCCTCGGGGCTCTCGCAGCTGCTGACGATGGCCACGGCACTGAACGACCTTCTCCTGACCTTGGTGTCTGACAGGCCAGACCCCCGGCCTGGGGGCGCCTTCTCCATGTTGTGCAGCTGCTGGTCCTTCCAGTCCAGCTGCTTGGCGCTGCAAAAGGGGGCATAGACCTCCACGCTGCCCTCGAACTGCAGGCAGTTCACTTTGTAGTACTTCCTCTTCACCTCCAGCACGTCGTTGAACCTGTGGCCCCAGAGAATCTCCCGGGGCACATAGGAGCTCCGGGACTGGTGGGAGGTCCCGGTGGAATCGCCCGTGTAGATGAACGTCACCAGGATCTCAAAGTTGTCCTTGGCCACCGCCTTCCGGTCCAGGGAGTACAGAGGGCTCTCGTGGTCGATCTCATGGACGATGGTGACCGGCGTCACGAGGATGATCTGGTCGTTGACCAGCTTGAGGTCTTTGAAGGCCATGGTCATGCGGCCCTCGCTGTCTTCCGTGTAGCGGAGGAGCTGGGCCCGCACGGTGCCCTCCACCACGTGGTTGGGCCGGAAGTCCCCGATGCGCCACATGAGGCAGAGTTTGCCATCCCTCATGCCGATGAGGGCGAAGTAGCTGAAGCGGATGGTCTGGGCTCGCTTCCGGGCTGTGGCCATCTTGGCCAGGGCGGCCCCGATGATGAAGGTGTTGATGATGCAGCTCAGGATGGACTGCAGGATGACGGTGAGCACGGCCACGGAGCACTCCTCGGTGACACAGCGGTAGCCGTAGCCGATGGTGGTCTGGGTCTCCAGGGAGAACAAGAAGGCGCCCGTGAACGAGTGGACATTGTCCACGCAGGGCGTGATGTCGGGGTTGTTGAGCAGGTCCCCGTGGTGGAAGGCGATCAGCCAGAAGATGGAGCCGAAGATGAGCCAGGAGAGGACGTAGGACAGGGAGAAGATGACAAACATGTGGCGCCACTTGGTGTCCACCAGGGTGGTGAAGATGTCCACCACGTAGCTGCCCCACTCGCCGAAGATGTGCTTGAAGTACACGTTGCAGCTGCCGTCCTTGTGCAGCAGCCGCCGGCGTGCCCGCCGCTTCTCCGCGAGGATGTGCTCAGGCGGGTAGCCCGGGTACTTGGGGTCCACGTTCACGATCGGGTAGCTGCTGCCGTAGTAGCTCATGCTTGCCTATGGCCTGCGGGCATCCAGGGGAGCTGGCGGCAGAAAAAGTTCAAGGTCAGTTGCTTTCTTTTGGTTTGGGTTTCCAGTTAAAACCTGCAAAATAAATAAATAATATAATTAATTTTTTTTAAAAAAATACTCACTTGAGCTTTAACTTCCATCTTTATAGGAATTTGCTAAATGTGAAGCAATGCTATGCCGCCCCAGAGAGCTAACGCTTGGTTTGAACGCCAGAGATGCTCAGTATGGATTTAATCATTTGAGTTTAGGATTCAACTCAGCCATTGTAGGAACCAGATAGGAATTAGAGACAATGACCTTTTTATAAATGCATAAGGCTTGAGTGAACGCTGTGATTATCCCAAAGGAAGCCTCGGTACTTTTTCTGAACCAACGTAAAGAAAAAACAACACACAAAACAAACAAACAACAACAAAAAACATTGTCTCACTTTTATAGCTTCCTCTGGCAGGAAGGTGTTTAGAAAACAAACCAATCGATAATGCAAAAAGGCAGACTACGGCTCCCATATTTATCTGGCAGTCTCATGAGCTTTCTAGCTGTTCAAACCAGGTGGTCTTCCTCAGAGGAAGGAGGAATTAGAGCTCCCGCCTCAGTGACCAGGTAACAGACATGCGGTGGCTATGCTATGGTCTCTCACCTTGGGCTCCTCCTGCTCCTTCTCCTCCAGGCCGTTCCTCTTCCCGGTGTCCTCCGGACCGCCCAGAGCTGACTGGAACAGCAGCTCAGATTCAACTCCTTCACCCCACTTCTACCTTCGCTCGTGAGAGGGAACAAAATCTCCCTTAACCCCAGCGGAGTCTCAGCCCTCCCAGCGTGGCTTCCAGCAAGGTATAACATTGCTGTGCCTTTGTCTCCTAGCATCCATCCTTTCTTTTTTTTTCTCTCCTTTTTTTTGGCACTGGAAGCTCTTCTCTTCCTCTCTGAATAGAAGCCCGAAAATTTGCCAAAGTTGCTAATCTTATTGTCCTCTTAAAGGGAGCACACTTCATACACACACCCTCCCACCCTCCTTCCTTCCCTCCTCGGTGTATCCCCCAGGCTCTCAGTCATCCCCAGCAAAACCATCTCTGTCCCTCCAAATCCAGTCTTTAAAAAAAGACACATGCAGACAGAACATACAGTTCCTATTGCTGTTAGCGTTCACGGTCCAGGCCAAAGGTTTCCCCAGCTCCGGCCTGAGAGCAAGTTTTAGAAATCCAGTGCAGAATGGCCTTTAGTTACTTGTGGGCAAAATGAAGTCGCCCCTGCAGCCCACTGTACTGGAGTGTGTTTTCCACTCGGTCCACCTGTGCTAGCAAGGGGAGGGGGCGTCAGAAGGAGAAGCACTTGCCAGGACCCTGCCACTCCGCACTGAAAGATGCAGCCGGAGTCATTGCTATTCCTGGCATGGAGACCCCTCTCCCCCTTGAACCCAACCGAGGACCGGATCACTGAGAATCTGTCCAGTCCTCCCAGCTGCCAAAGGGAGGAAAGAGTTAATTCCCCTCCCATCACAAGGCATCATTTTTCCTCCTCTCCAGGGATTGGGCCCACTTTACAATAAACACTTTGTTCCATGGACCACGGTGGGGATGGACACTCGGCCAAGAAATCTCGCCAAGCACGGACGGGTGTCTCTCTGTCCGTCCATCCACCAGCCTCTGATCACTTCACCGACCCGCCTGCTGTGAGAAGCCCTCAGTCGTGTTTTGAGGAGGTCACCGCAGAATTTCAGGATGTGCCCCAGGGCTGGGAAAACGCTTACTGGAATGCCGAATGGAAGATATTTCTGCAAATTTTGTCCACCACATATATTGTTCCTTGCAGGTTCCAGCCCGGTTTCTCATTAAGAGATGGCAGCCCAGGGGTTCTCAGTCTCCACTCTCTCACCTGGTTACTGGAGGTGGGAGAATGGGCACATTCAGAAGCAGATTTGGAGATAGGGTTGTTTTCCTATTGAGCACTTCCAACCCAGTTCCTTAAAGGGACCTGCACAGATCGTGGGAGTCTGAGGATCACAGAGCACAGCTCATAAATCAAGAGCTACTGTGCAGCTCGGAGCGTTCCTGCTGCCAAAAGAAAAATGATTTTTATTTGAAATGGCATTTGGCTGGCATCACTTTCAATTCCAGTGGTGCCAGCAACATCCATAAATGAGCCGTTTTTAAAACACCTCCATCAGTAGGCTCATTGGCAAATGAATTTGCAATTAAGACAAGCAAAAAGTGAACAAATCTGAGTATGTGGAAAGTGTGTTTCTGAATCATGAATTGCAAGGATACAAGTTACAGTTCTGAGAATTCGGCCGCATACCCACCATGTCCTTCGCTGTGGTTCTTGACTGGGGTCGTTAATTTTAATTTTCCAGAAGAAAGCTTTGAGATTCTGGTTAGGGAGTACACTTTATTAATCTATTCTTAGATTCTCTACCCACTCGAAGGATTCATTTTCTAAAAGGCAATTTTCTAAGCTAACTCATAGATTATAACTATTTTCTTTAGTCTAAATTCTCAGGCTACCCAGTGAGCAAAGAGTTTATGGAGGCCCCTTTGCCGAATGGCTCAACAAGATAAACATTGATTAGTCCAGCTTCCTAGGTCATGGTGAGGAGAGCACTTTTCCAGTCGTTCGCCATCAAATCATAGTGGATTGGGCTTGTTGATGGACCAGGTGGCCTCTTGTGTTTCTGAGGGTTAAAACCAGGCTCCACGGGTTCCTTGATGCTTTCTTAAGCCTCTCACTACTGACTCCATCAGGAAAAAAACAATGATGACGTTCTTCCTTCTCTATATCCTTTTGCAAGGTAAGCCCCTAGCCCTTCAGACACAGGGGGTGGCCATTTCACTGGCTGCAAAGTTCTCTTTTTCAAGTGAGACAGGAAATGTGATCCCTGCCACAACACAACTGTGGGTGTCAAGTTCACAGGCACATGCTGGGGGAGGTCAGGGTTCCTTCTGCACCGGTTCCCACTGTCTCTCCGAATCGTAATGACAAAGGGAGAAAAAGGACAGTGATTTTTTGGCCCCTGACACGGGAGCTCTTTCCAATGGGCAGCCAGAGTAACAGACTGGGTGCATCCTGAGATGGCCATGAAAGCTCCTTACCACTTGCGAAGTCACCTTGGATGGAAGGTGACCCATTCGCTTCACCCTACAGACACCTGGGGCAGACAACTTCGAAGGGACAGCCATCCCAATCCTGGCGGTGCCTTTTTTCAGACGTTTTTTTGTATTAAGCTCAGACATTGACAACAAAAGAAATGTTCCTCAATCCACTTCATCTACTCTGACCAGTGAGGTCTGAACTTCACCTTCGTCCTCAGTCTCCTAGGTCTTTGTCTGAATTCAAGGGGAAACAAACCTCTACTGATTTAGCATGTTCCCAACGAGCTGCATGCACCACAGGAGATATTTCCAACCAAACGAATACCATCCTGTCTATCTATCTCTAATTGTCCATACGATTATCCTCATAGGACTCGCCGGTTTGCAGCAAGCCTCTGCTATCCTGCCACAACTTCTCAAGTTCAGCTGTTTACCAAGCAGACACCTCTTGTAATTAGTTCTCCAGGCTATGTGGAGGGTACAACACAATGCTTTATAATCCAGTGCCACTTGGAATATCAAATTTGATTTTGTCTTCAGATCTACTTAAGATAAATATAGTAGGGGTAACTACAAATAATGGTCTACAGTATCTCTGGTAAAATTCTCTGTGATATTGCCCACAGCCTTTCAGATCTACCAGTACCAGTTTTAGAATGTAAATGGCTTACGTTAAGTCCTCATTGGAAGCCAGGTTACTTTCCTGGCAACTATTAGGCACGATAAGTGTCCATGGAAACTGGAGAGCGACGAGGCAGAGAGAGAATGGGTGGCCTACATTCCCAGGCTGGGCCATGGTCTTTGAGGACGGGCTTGGGTGCCTGGGGAGGGGGCAGGAGAGTCAGCAAGAGAAGGCATGGCCAGATGGCACATGGAGGTGGGCTCTGGTTGCTGGGGAGGAGAGTAAGAGGGGTGTTGATGAGTTAGAACAAAAACCAAACAAGTTATGTTCTTTTGCTCAAAACTTGTCCTACAAGTTGTTGCCTTGGGATCGTGCCTTATCTCACCTGGAATCCTCTGAAGACACCCAGACACTGAGGTGGAGCCCATCATTCAGCCCCTGAGCACCTCTTCACCCGGGACCTGCTCTCCAGGGGACAGCAGCTGTGTCCCCTTCTTCCCACTCTCCCCTCCAATCCAGTCAACTTCTCAGTGGCCAGGGATTTTACCTTTTCCCTGCTATCACCCTCCTTCTCAATCAATTTCAGAAAGTTCCTTGCCAGGAAAAGGAGTCATGTGTGTTATGAGAAAAGAACTGAACTGAGAGCTGGTGCTGGGAAGGAGAGGCAGAGACCCCCAGTAGCTGGCCACGTCATCCGGAGACCTTCCACAGCCCAGCACTGCCTGAAGTAATATCTACCTCCCACCGTAGCCCTGCCTCACCCACAAAGCTGCTGCGCTTCACACAGGAGAAGAAATCTGGGGGCTAGAGGAGGTTTCTTTATTTTCTGGATGTCAAGGTAGCACCCAAGTAACATGAATTATAACACTCAAACTCCTCTGGTTTAAAAGTCAAATTAAGAAATCGTCTGAGATGAAATGATTGTTGTTGTTTTGGTTTTGCACAGAACATATGAGCTGGGAAGCAGACCCAGTGCCAAGTCAGCCCTCAGGGCCCTGAGCAGTTTTTGCAAGTCACTGCCTCTGACCTCAGTGTCCTCAGCTGTGGTATGGGGGAACACCTGTGGCCCCCTGTTATTAGGAGGTTGAGGGGGATAATTAATGAGAGGCCACCTTCACTTTGCCAAGCTCACAGTAGTGATTCAATAATTATTGCTCCCACAAAGACTCAGTTTCCCCCTCTGTAAAATGTCTGAGCGTCTGTGGGAACCCCTCCGAGAGCTTTCCACTTGCTTGACAACCAGGCAGAAGACATGTACTTCCTAAGAGCTGCTTTTATTTAAGGTCAGGGACAGCACGGCAACCCTGTGTCCTACCACTAAGCCACCTGGGCTCCCTCTCTGTCTTTCCACTCCTCCCAGAGCC